TTAAAAGACAAGCCCTGGCTGGTGCGGCTCAGTGGGTAGAGCGCCGGCCTGCGGACCAAAGGGTCCCGGGTTCGATTGGACACGTACCTCAATTGCAGGCTTCTCCCCGGCCCGGGCCCTGGTCGAGGGGCGTGCAGGAGGCAACTCGTCAATGTATCTCTTTCACATCCGTGTTTCTGTCTCTCCCTCTCCTTTCCACTCTCTAAAAAATCAATGGGAAAAAATATCCTTTGGTGAGGCTCAAAACACAACAACAAAGAAGCAAAGATGATGACTAAGGACTTATGGCCAATTTAAATTATATTTTATTGACTTTTTTTTTACAGAGAGGAAGGGGGAGGGATAGAGAGTTAGAAACAACGTTGGGAAAGAAACATGGATCAGCTGCCTCCTGCACATCTCCTACTGGGGATGTGCCCGCAACCAAGGTACATGCCCTTGACCGGAATCGAACCCGGGACCCTTCAGTCCGCAGGCCGACGCTCTATCCACTGAGCCACACCGGTCAGGGTACCAATACTTGTTATGATGTGCCAGTGATGAGTCTGTGCTGGAGGGAAGTTCAGTGAGCTGCCTGTATCTGAGCCGGATACAGTGCCTGGTCCCCACCGAGTACTCAGTGTTAGCACTCATGGTCAACTCCTTCATTTTTTTCATTAATAGCATTTATTTTTAAAAACAGTTTAGATTAACAGAAAAACTGAGCATACATTTGCAGCGGCCAGAGCTCCGTGCCGATACATTGTATCCTCTCCGTGCTGATACATTGTATCCTCTCCATGCTCGACAAAGAAGCAAAGATGATGAGTAAGGGCTTATGGCCAATTTAAATTATATTTTATTGATTTTCCACAAAGAGGAAGGGAGAGGGATAGAGAGTTAGAAACAACGTTGGGAAAGAAACATCGATCAGCTGCCTCCTGCACATCTCCTACTGCGGATGTGCCCGCAACCAAGGTACATGCCCTTGACCGGAATCGAACCCGGGACCCTTCAGTCCGCAGGCCGACGCTCTATCCACTGAGCACACCGGTCAGGGCACCAATCCTTGTTATGATGTGCCAGTGACGAGTCTGTGCTGGAGGGAAGCTCAGTGAGCTGCCTATATCTGAGCTGGATACAGTACCTGGTCCCCACCGAGTACTCAGTGTTAGCACTCATGGTCAACTCCTTCATTTTTTTCATTAATAGCATTTATTTTTAAAAACAGTTTAGATTAACAGAAAAACTGAGCATACATTTGCAGCGGCCGGAGCTCCGTGCTGATACATTGTATCCTCTCCATGCTGATACATTGTATTCGCTGAGGCTGCAGTTTGGTCCGGCTCCTGATTTGTTACTTAGTGTCCCACCTATTGAGCTGCCCTTGCCTGTGAGCGTTTCCCAGGCTTGCCTGGTGTTGGTGACCTTGACAGTGTTGCGGGGTACTGGTCAGGTGTATGGTAAGATGCCCCTCTGCAAATGAAAAACATTTGCCTGATGTTTTTCTCATCACTAGACTGGGGTTGTGGGATTTTGTGTGTTTTTTTTTTAAACTAGACTTTTTTTTTTACAGCCGTTGTAGCTTTACGGCAAAATCAAGTGGGATTTCACCAGGTCTAAAGGGCCGCGCTGTCCCATCATATTGAGGGTGCGTGGTGTCGGCGTGAATGTGTGGCTGTTGGGTGCTGATCCCGGGCACCTGGCTGAGGCAGGGCTGCTTGGGTCTCGTTAAAATTCTCTCTCTCTCACACACACACACACACACACAACGGAGAAACACCCAGCTTGCCCGTGGCCGTTCCCGCGCCTCTTTAACGGAGGCCCCCAGGGCCTCTGTGTTCAGAGCCCCCTTTGCACCTGCCCAGGTAGGCGCCCACCTCGGCCAGACCCCACCTCCAGGTCACAGAGCCCCCACCCGCCCACGCCTTCCAGCACGGTGCACCCCCTTCCTCCCCCTCCACCCTGCAAATCCTGCTGGCGCCGGAGGCCCATCCACACAGTTTCGCTTTCTCTTGAAACTTCCTGGAACTCTGTCCTTTTCTGAACTCTCCGTGGCCTTGGGTGCCCGCGTGCCCGCCTCCCCTCCGCGGCTCTGGCTGAGATTCTCGGGGACTGACTTCTTGCTGCCGGTGAAGATCGGGTTTCCGGTGATCGTTCCGATCGGCCCAGGGCTAAGGGTTAAGGGGAAACGATGCAGAATCGCAGCCAGGGCCTCGCGTGTGAAATGCGCTTCCCCTGAAAGGGTCCGTCTAGAACGGAGGACACGCTGGGACCACAGACTCCTCCCCACTTGGGCTCTGCTCTTCTGCCACAAGTTCAAATGCAGCTGCTGTAGTTTTCTTTCCTTTTTTAAAGGAAACTTTAAAAAATATCTATACTCTGATTGATCTCAGAGAGGAAGGGAGAAGGAGAGAGAGGGATAGAAACATCCATGATGAGAGAGAACAATGGATCGGCTGCCTCCTGCCCGCCCCCTCCTGGTTTTATTTTTTATTTATTTGTTTTTTATTTATTTTTTATGCCCTTGACCGGAATCGAACCTGGGACCCTTGAGTCTGCAGGCCAATGCTCTATCCACTGAGCCAAACCAGCCAGGGCCGGTTTTATTTTTTGGTGAGAAGGACGCGGGAGGAAGACAGGGTGACAGGGTCCGAGACCCGGTCTGGGATTCGAGGGGACCCACGGGGCCCTGTGAAGTGGATGCTGCGCCTTGGCCTGGGTGCCCGGCTGGGCTGGACTCGCAGGAGGAGAGATCGTCCCAGTCAGAGCCCTCAGTCTCCCTCAGTCTCTGGGTGGCACCGAGACTGGGGACGGCCTGGGCCTGCTCCCTCCCCGCCCTCCTCCCTGGCGGGGCTGAGCGCGTGGGGGGCGGGGGGCGGTGAGCTCTGAAATGCCTGTCCCTTAGGTGTGCTGGCTGGCCCCCGAGCAGACGGCGGGAAAGGAGAAGCCCTTTGTGTACACCCAGGGGCAGGCCGTCCTGAACCGGTCCTTCTTCCCCTGCTTCGACACGCCTGCCGTCAAGTGCACGTACTCCGCCCTCATCCAGGTAAGGGCGGCCCCGGGACCTGCCTGGGGACCTGCCCGGGGACCGTGCATGACGTCCGTCCAGGAAAGATTCCCTCCGCCTTCAGGAACCTCATTTGCCTGTGGTCAATCCCCTCGGTTTAAATCTATTGGTATTGATTTCAGAGAGAGAGAGAGAGAGAGAGAGAGGGAGACACCCATGATGAGAGAGGACCATGGATCGGCTGCCTCCTGCACCCTGTTCCTCCCCCACCCCTCAGCCCGGGCATGTGCTCTGACCGGGAATCGAACCCTGACCTCCTGGTTCATAGGTCGACGCTCAACCCCTGAGCCACGCCGGCCGGGCTAAATCCCCTCAGTTTAGGGCAAGCTGGGGGCCGGGAGGACTCTGTGGTCCCCGTGCAGGTGGCTGGGCCTGCAGCTCGCCAGGCCCAGCAGCGAAGGCCCCTCCGCCCTCCCCTCAGGTCCCCGAAGGCTTCACCGCGGTGATGAGTGCCGACACCTGGGAACGGCGAGGGCCCCACGGGTTCTTCTTCCGCATGAGCCACCCCATCCCCTCCTACCTCATCGCGCTGGCCATCGGAGACCTGGCCTCAGCGGAGGTGGGGCCCAGGTAGGACCCCCCCTCCCCCCCAGGCAGGGTTGGCAGGACCCCAGGCAAGGAGGCCTCTGAGCCCTGGGGCTGCCAGGTGGGTGCAGTTGGGGCACCTGAGCCCTCTGTCCGCAGTGTCCGTGCGGCCTGAGTGACCTGGAGGCCCTGCTCTGCCTCCTCCTGTCTCCCTCCGTCCATTTCCAAGTCTGTGGCCACCATGGGGTCACCACCGGCCCCACCGTTGCAGCTGCTGACCTGGGTCCCCTGGGGGTGTGGTTGGGGCTCAGGCAGCAGGACTGAAGGTTGACCTTTTTTAGAAAATATATTTCTGTTGATTTCAGAGAGGAAGGGGGAGGGAGGGAGAGAAACATCCGTGATTGAGAGAGAATCATGGATCGGCTGCCTCCTGCACGCACCCCTATTGGGGATCGAGCCCGCAACCCGGGCATGTGCCCTGACCTCCTGGGACACAGGTCGACTCTCAACCACTGAGCCACACCGGCCGGGCTAACGATTGATCTTTACCGGCCCCCGATACGCTCCCGTCCCTCAGACCTTTAAAGCAAACCCACTCCGGAGCTGAGGCCCCGTGTCCTGGGCGCAGCCTCGCCCGCCCGGCCGCCCCACCGGCTTCTCACAGGC